GTGCATGCTTACTCTTATTTCATCCTTCACAGATGGCAGCTCCATACTGCTTCAGCCTTTACTTTCCCATGCTAAACATGCATGTTCTTCTAATCTTCCGCCCAAGTAGCTGAGTATTATGATGATCAGTGGGGTACATAAATTTTTTTCTGTCCCTGTTCAAGCTTAAATACACTCTTCAACATGGAAACACACAATAGCATACATTGCTCCAGATGCATACTTTATTTACTTTTAGATTATTTCAAAATTTTTAACACAAATGCCAAAGCCTTTTGTACATGTACAATGTACACTTGGCATCTGTCTGCATAAACACATCCCTAGTTCAGTGAGTCTGTATCTTGTAAAAGAAAGCAATGTCCAGAGGTTGGAATGAATAATCAGAAGTTCCACTGGTATTCAAGGTTAATATACAAAATTAACCGTGACAAAGTTTTATTACTTTCCAATATTGATAGAAAGCAACACGTTTAGAAACAGAAGGGATTTTACTGCACTGACTCTGATAGTAATTAAAGCACAGCATCACAGCATATTCTCAAGCTTTGCAGTTAAATCTTCTACATTGATAAATAGAGAAAAATGCCTAGCATGGGTCAGCCAGCATTCTGCAAGAAATTCAAGAGCACAGTTCAGGTTTAGTGTGTCTAATCTAGTGTTTCTCTCAGTTCAGAAAATTGTCTTTCCAAATATGCTTTGTAGTGGCTGGTATGTTAGATGGAACATTGACTGGCAAAAAACTGTGCCTAAGGAATAGATTTCCAAGTGCCTTCACACCACAGAGAGCTGGATACATTGGGTACATTCAACATACATGACACATTTAGGGAATGATCTTAGTTAAACTCCAGATGTCACATTCAAAGAAACTCTGGGCTCAAGTTAACCAAAGCAAAGCGAAAAATATTCATATTTTAAGCCACCTTTTAATAGACCTTTTGAATATTATAAAATTATAAATATATAAAATATAAAATCAATTTCCATTTTACATTGCCCCCAACCTCCCAAAGTATTCTTCTTAGGATCAAAAGTTTCCAATCTTGCTATAACATCAACAATTATAACAGACTCCTATAAGCACATCTCAAACACCTATGGATATTTTCTGTCAAAACATTACATATTTAAAATTCTTACTATTGTAAAACCCAAAAATCATTTTTCACTTACTCTTTGTAAGTTCCTGTTTCAGGATCTTCAGTCATAACATCATACAGACCTTCCAACGTAACGTGGATGATACCACAAAATTTATCTTGGATAACACTGGAAAAGAAAAGGAAAGTGTTTTAGCTAAAGTAACTGGACAGGGAATTTGTTCAATAACCGTAAGGCATATTTACCAAGCAGTGTTTTAATTGTTCACCACTTAGCTGAGTATGCTATCAAGCATCTAATTCCAACTTTTTTTTTTTTATTACATAAGGGACCCAAAGTTAGCAAACTCATGATAGAAGCATTCTATTAGAATGAAGTGCCATGTGTTGTTGAAAATTTAGAAAGGTCAGAGTACTTCTGCTTTTAACACATTTGCATATTTTCTAACATCACTATCTGATGTGAAAAAGAACAGCATGTAAACCTAGTACATTCCTTCTTGCATTTTCTATTCAACCTTACGAGCATTTCTTTAACCTCCTGGACAGGTTAATGACATTCCATAATCAGGTAAAAGGTATTTCCACCTACAAAAGCAGATTTTCTTAATTAGAAAGGTGGAAGCACGTTTCAGCTCTACTGAAGCACAGCTAACTCCTGTCATTTGAATTACCAGACCAAAGAGCTGGCAGGTAGCACCACAGACTGAAAAAATAAGGAAATAAAGATGAGCACCTTCCTTTCTCCAACAGAAGCTGAAGGCCAGGTTGAATAATCCAAGCATCCCAAATGACACCAATCTCCTAAATCATTTAGATGCACATCCCTGCCTTGCAAAATCACATGCCTGTAGTGTGAGAAGGGCATGAAACCATGACCTCCCAGACTCCCAGATGAAAAAGCAGGTACCAGCAGCTTCTAGTTAAGGGAAAGTAGCTCTTGACTGCTGTCACTTCTGCTGAATTCTCTGATATTCTGGGTTTGGCTATCAATGCACAGACTCCTAGCCCGTAAGTTATGTAAGGGTTCAGGCACTCTGCAAGCAAACAGTTTTAGCTACTGGCAAAGAAATTGCAAAGTCTGATTAGTGATGGTAAAGGATAACTCTTTCATGTGTCACTGCTATTGATTAATGATTTCAATTAGCACAATTTCAGAATTTCAGGGTTCATTTTTCCCAGAGGTGGTTGCTGCAGATATACAAAATCTTAAATATATAACATTGCAAAACAGATGCTTTGGGGAAAAAAAAGCCTATCAAGTTTTGAATATTAAGTCTATTAAAATATTTATTCAAACTTTGTTTTTATAAGATTATGATTCAGCTCATGATCATTTTGTTTTCAAATGAAATTTTTTCATAAATTTTATTCAGCTAAGGTCAATTGCCATGAATAGAACTATATTTAAATGCTGAAAGCTGAAACTCCAGCACTTTCAGGGATGAAAACTGATGGAATTTTCCTTCAGTCTGGCCTCTTATTGTTGCCACTTACATTTTAGAGAAGACTTTGTTCCTTGCCAAACAGCTTCCCTACCTCATCCAAAGGAGAAAACAAACAACCTAAAGAAAATGAGCACAGACTGTTTAGCAGACTGCAGAATAAGCCCTCAGAGTTAAGAATTTCTTCAGTTCAGTTAGATTTCTACAAAGCACACCTACCTTCATTAAAGCTTTTTCTCTTCATACTTTTTTTTTTTTCCTTTAACAACATACATCTAGGAAAATCCCCATTAGCGTGGTTAGTATTTTCCATTGTAAGAAAGGAAACAGCTCTCCTCACATTCCTTTCAAAAGAGGATGTGGGAAATTCAACCAAGAACACTCCACCTCGGAGGAGTACACTACTCTCTGTAAGTATGCACCATTTTAATAGCGCAGTTCTATCAGCTACCTGGTAGCTGAATTTGTTCCTTTCAAGCCACATGAAGAACGTCTAACTGCCAGAGGAACTGCATAATTTTACTTGGAGGGGAGAGAAGAGAGGAAAATGTTTAACCCAAAGTAGGCACAGCCTTTTCATCTGCTGCAAGTGCTAATTATGGTCAATCTATACAAGTGAGTTATGTTAATTAACCAAAATACAAAAAAGTAAGCACAGTACTCATTAACTTTATTTTTTCTTTTTCATCTCTGCCAGGCTTGCAGACTAATAGGAAAAGCACAGAGGGAGGGAGTCCCTTTTCAGTTAACTCGTGTATCCAGTGATCTGTGATATATCCAGAAGAAACTGAAGAAGGTGGCTAAAAATTCAAAATACAGCTCCTGATAATTAACTGCAGAGCGTGCTGAAAAATCAGAGTTTTCTTTACTTGAAAATGCTATTTTTATCTTGTAGCATGAGATAGAGACATTATTTTACTTCTTTTTGAAGTGAATAATAGAAATGTAATGATAATTTTCCTGAGGAAAGCAGTGCCACAGAATACAGAAGGCCTTTCAAAATAATCTAACAGCTACCCACAGTTTTCAGTGAAGATAAAACCATCTTTTTTCCCTTCCTTTTCCTCTTGAGACAGTTTCTTCCTATCAGACACTCCCCAAAACATTTATCAAGTCCAAAATCATTAAACAATAGAACTATTTTTAGAATGTAAGACATATGCTGGGGGGAAATAAAGGCAGCATATGTTTACTGTGGCTTGAAAAAAACAAAACCACAACCAAAAAAAAACTTGGGCTAAAGTTCAGCAGCAACACAATGAGATATCAGGTGTCATTTTCATGGAAGAAAGGGAAAGAGCCTCGCAAATCAAGGAAATCTCTTTTTAGAAGTCTAAAATTAGACTGGTTGTTTTAAGAAACATGCTGGAAAGTTCTCAAGAGTGGCTTCAGAAAAGAAATGGAAACATATTTTGCTGAACTTTCATTGTGAAACTGAACAGTTAACACTGTCCATACAAAAAAATCTCAGCTCAGGCTGAAGGCAGCATTTAAGCAGTTCCACCTTTCAATTGCATCTAATCAAGGTCAGTAGCATAATAAGTAACAGCATAAAGTTATAACTGATTTTCTAACTACCCCAAGGTCCTATAAGTCATCAGGACAAAACCTAGTTCGGTACATATCAAGAATTACCAAGGGACAGGCCTGGAATTTGACGTTTACAGCTTGTATGAAGTTGGTAGTCAGGATTTAAACCAGTCCAGGATCCAGTTCCAAAGATGCAGTTAAGACCTTATTTTTGTAATTACAAAAGGGATCTTTCATGTTACCTACTTAAAAAAAAAAATAATAATCAACTTGTCTCTAATAAAAAAATGCAACAAACCTATTTACGACAGGTTGAACATGTTCGTTTTTCATTTCAAAGTTTGCAAATCCTGTGAGATAAAAGGAAGTTCTGCCATTTCCAACTCATTCAAGCTATCCATTCAAAATTTTTACCCAGTGTTTTCTGCGACAACTATCACTACAGCAACTTTGGATTTCAGTTAAATAGCATAGATGATAACAAATTGCTAGTAGTATGTAAATAAAATAGTCTTCATGTCTCCAATACATCCTTCTTGGTCTATCAGAAACGGAGAAAACATTCTTATTGGCAAGCATACTTAATTGCACACATACCTTTCTCTTCTAGACATTAAAAGGAAGCAGTAGAAAAGCAGAGATTTTCTCTTTTGCCAGGATGAAGCAGCAAAAATAGAAAAAGGGACGAGCATCATATCTTTACTGGTGTTAATTCAAGATAGATTAATAAATTATTTATTCTTATTTCATTAGCAGTGGGAAGAGATTGAAGGGCACAAATGGAGTTTACTTTTTACGTGCTATGAGCAATGTAAACGATTGTTTTTTTTCTCCTCTAGATGCTGTGCAGTGCTACAGAGCTCCTAAAAATGATAACGACACATCTAAGACAGCATTTCCAGGGGAATTGTATGGCTGATAATGAGCTTTACAAATGAGAATCTAATAAGGGACTGTGACTAAGTGGAAGTCTATAGACCATTTTGCTTCATGTGGGCAGGCACTACTGAGACTTCTGAATTCTGTATTCTCCAGTGATTTAAACAGACATATGAACCACACACACAGTATTCCTGTTTCCTAGTGTGAACATTTAACTTGGCAGTTACTGCACTTTCCCACAGTTACATCCCTCAAATTCTCTGTACAGCAAAGCTGGAAATTTTTCTCAAGTTGGTTATTGGAGGATGACTCCTCTCCATAAGATGGCTTTGATTGTCCCAGCAAAACTTACAGAAATGATGCTGGCAGTATCAATTTCATTTAAACTGAATCACTGGAAATGATAGGACACACATCTGGAAGATGATTCCTACAGAAGCTTGTCAGCGAAAAGGAAACACCTTCAGAGGGAACTGTGGTCTTCTGCTGAGAACAGCTCAGAAGCACACAGGTTTCAGAATTGGGCTTGTTCTTTCCCAGCCTTCATCCACTCCCATGAAATCCTCTCCCACATGGGCACATCAGCATTACTACTTAAGAAAACCTATTTAATTAGCTTTGACTAGAATGATCATCACTCAGGTGCTAATAAAGACCGTTATTTCTGAAGACAGCCATATAAAATTGAAAGTTTACAGATGTAGAACTGAAGACAACCAAACTTACTACTGTAGAATTACACACAGTGTAGCTGTTACTAAATGAAAATAAAAACAATTCAAAACACAAAAAAGCCTAATAAACTTAACACTTGCTGCAACCAATTATGTAGGAAGGATAAAAAGGGGTCAAGGAGCAAAGCACTGTATTGGAGTTAAAAAATTAAGCATGAATTTGAGAGTAATTAGCATTTTCTCCCCTTAAGAAACAAACAAAAAAGCACACTACATTTAATATTTATGGCTATAAAGGTATATATAAAACAAAGTTTCTAGTCACGAAACTCAAAACAGTTTAAGCTTTTGCCCAACTAGTAGAATTAAGCATTCCGTAAGACAGAAATAGTTCATCTATTATACATTAAATTAGAGTAAAATACAGCACTACAATACAATGAAAGTAAATCTCAACAAAACTCAGATTTTGTTACATCCAGTAGAAAGATGTAGCAAGCAACAACAGAGGAACACAGTGTAGACTTCCACATTCACACCTGTAATATTACAGGCAAGGTCTACGTTTGTACTGCCAGCAGAAAATATCTTGTCATTCCTGGAAATGCATTGGAAACGAACAAATGGGGTGATAAGGAGTGCAACAACATGGCCATGCACATTAGTTATGCTAGCAGAAGTCAGGCTGGAGCCAGAAACCCTAAAGCATCCTACACATCAATATTCTAAATAAAAATGTAGAAGTTTAAACAAATGCTAACTACATGGTTTGCATAATACCCATCATTTCAAGCACAATCTTAGAATGTAGTCTTCACTTAGAAAACATATTTTGACCTAACATTTCAAAATACACAAATACTTAAGTATTCTCAACAGATTTCTTCAGTTTATACCCCTCATCTAGCCAAAGACTCCCTCAAACTTCACTATGTAGATGACATCATCTTTTTACAGACAATAATTAACCATTTCAGAGACATTACAGATGTTATCAATTTTTGAATCCAATATTTAGCTTCCATATTAACTCCTAATAAGTTATGACCACAAAGTGATACAAATACAGACTATTAAAAATCGTATTTAATATATTTGTTATACAGACTGAGTACAGGAAACCGTGTATGCAATAAATACATAAAGCACTGCTCTTCTCATTCCCCAGGTTTCTTGGTTTTATGATCTAGTTGCCTTTAATTTCAAGTTAGTTATGTAATTACTACAGAAACTTAATACCCATAAGTACTGCAAAATAAATAATATGAACATTCTCTCTAGTGAACACATACTTGCGCTACAGGTGAAAGAATCCTACAACAGGAACATAGGTAATCCATATCAGGTATAAATGACACTTAATAAAAATCAATGAACTTCAGAACACCGAGAAAGCAAATAAACCCAAATTACACTATTTTCCACAATTCTATCAATCAGCTCATTTTTTTGGAAAATCAAATTCTTGACTTCTCAACATTTCAGATTGGAGTAAAATTGACATCAAATCAACGGAAGTAAATTACAGTGATGAATGTTCAAACAATATGACCTGTGCCTGACTTTCAGATGCTGTTCGCTTGAGCAGCCTAATTTGGTCCAATTCTGAATCTCCTGCTGAATTTTCAGTTAGAGACTGCACTGCGTCATTTATGTTGTATCTGCCAGGTTGATAAAAACCATAATATTCTATGCGCTTCTCCCCTGAGTTTTCCAGCACTTTTAGTTTCTGTCTAAAGTGAATGATTTTGTAGGTTAGGAACAAGATCACAGCACAAGCCAGAACGAAAAAGGCTAGCAAAACATCAAAGGCCTGATTGAGCTTTTCAACCTGTTGTGTACAAAGTACAGATGTCTGTAATGATACAGGAGCAGCATCTGTTGGAAACAAACTTTGTACTTCTATGGTTCTGGTAACAGGTATAATCTGCGCTGGTATCTGTACTGGTAAAACTGATAGTAGTGTAGGTGCCTGTGAAGGAGTTTCAGGAGCAGTGTTTTCTCCATAAGGCAAAGGGCTAGCAGATGTAACTGCAGTTCCTTCCCAGAGAGCAATATATTTCGTATCAGCCTTAATAAACTGCTCAAATGGAATGCGACTGTTTCCCTTATGCCATGCCATCAGCAAAGTGGTAGGGCTGTGATGGGTATCTGCAGATTCTAGATTCCAGGCTGCTTCTGGGCTGGCAGTGAGGCTACTGCAGTTTGCAAACAGAGTCCACTTGATGTAACGCAAAGGTCTGCCACGCATGCTGAGGGGATTCCAACAAAGAATTTTAACAGAAATGCGAGATGATGCCAACCACTTAAGTAACCCAAGCATTTTGCAACTACAGTTCCAAGGATTATAATCTATGTGTAGATGAGTTAAAGACACTAAAGGTTTAAGCACTTTAGGTTGCAACTCTGTAATACTATTAAAAGCTAAATTGAGAATTTTAAGTGACTGCCCCATTTTCTCAAAGACACTGTCACCAATACTTGTTATTTTATTTCGGTCCAACTGCAGATACTTTAAACTATTCAAAGAAGTAAAAGTGCTGGAATTTATATTTTCTAAATCATTATAACTTAAGATTAACTGACTAAGGTCGCTTAATCCAAAAAATCCGTTTACAGCAATATGTTTTAGCTTTACACTTTTTAAAGACAGATATCTAAGCTTGTTAAGTCCTTTAAATGCAAAACGCTGTATTGATCTAATAGGATTGTGAGATAAAGAAAGTCTTTCAAGATTTCTGAGCATTCCAATGGCATTTGATGGCACAAGTGTTAAGTTGTTACCTTCAAGGAACAAGTATACAAGGTTTTCAAGATGACAAAACGCTGCATCTGATATCCGTGAAATCTTATTATTGGCTAGGTTAAGTGTTTGAAGATTTCTCATTCCCAAGAAAGTTCCACTTCCAAGGACACTGAGACGATTTCTTTGAAGTGTTAAATATCTAACAGAAAGAAGATCACTAAATAATCCTCGGGAAACAAAAGCTATTTGATTATTCTGAAGGTATAAATAATGAAGATTGGAAAGACCTTCAAAAGTTCCTGGATCCAGGCGTTTAATATTATTGTTATTTAGATGCAAGTAGCAAAGTTTAGGAAGATCCACAAAAGCTTTTGGGTGTACATATGAAATACTGGAATTATCCATGTAAAGTGCAGCAAGTTTCTGAAGACCTGTTAATTCATTTGGAATGACATGAGATATATTATTCCCACTGAAGTATACAAGAATTGTAGTTTTAGGGAAGTTCCGAGGGATGCTTGAAAGACCCAAGTTACGACAGGTAACTTGCCTCCCTGTGCAGAGCTGGCAAAGAGTTGGACAGCCAAGAACCTCCTTCTGGAGCAGCAACAAAAGAAAGCCACTAAGGAGATGCAGGAATGCTCTTGTGCAGGGTGAAAAACTCTGTAGTCCACACATATCCCTGTCTTTGGCCTTCTCCCTCATTTCTGACTTTGCTAGTAGAGATAAAAAAAGTTTATGAACATTATTCATTCGAAATTGTAGGATTCTTTAAAAAACAAAAAAAAAAACAAAAAAACCCCCACAAGTTTTGCTTTCAAGATTGCTATTTTAAATATATTATCCTATGAGGCCAAATAAGTAATTTCAAAGTAAAACTTAAGTTTATCATGAGTTTGAACTATATGGAAAAAAAAAATCAACATAAAAGAAAAGTGAAACAAATCACTGCCAAAATAGCAGATGATTCTACGATATGATCGTGAGATTCTATGAGACAGCCAAAATAGCTGGAAAATGCTGAATTGGTTATAGAATAAAAGCTGCCAAAATAATGACTTCTAGTAAATTCACAATACCATATATTAACTATTTTAAGTAGTTAAAAATAACACAGAGCTTTTTCAATAGCTTTCAAGTAGGAGTGCCAACAAGTTTCCTTTCATTTAAAGCTTGAATTTTGCCTTTTACAAAGTTGAATTACATTCAAAATAAGCAGAAACAACTCCTTACCCCAAATCTGAAGTTCATTATTTCTGTTCTTTCATTGTTTTGCAGTTTGTTGGGCTGTTACCAGCTGACAATACCCATCTGCGAAACACTTGGAAAAGTGATACTGCTGTGTATCACAGACAGCTCTCACATTTTGCCCCTGGATTTGCAACTGTTCATTCAGGAAATTAAGTAAGAAGTAGTTAAAGTGAGGTTGCCATGGATACAGGAAACTGTCAGGCAGGAAGCCATTTTATCTGTGCTTCAGAAGTACTGTTGGAAAGGAAATCTCAACTAGCGGTTTCTAGAAAACCAAGAATTATCTTAATCTTCAACTGCTGCCTTAAAAAAAAAAAAACTTTTTTTAAGTAGGAGAGCTCTAAAAAGGTTTGTCAAGATAGTTAGATATTACAATAAAGCATATCCATTTATAACAGTACTGCCGTGTTATTGGTAAATTCTTGTATTTTCCAGACAGAAAATGTTTTATTAAATAAACAGCAATTTGTATTGTTCCATCTGCCTGCATAACAAAACTGTTCTTTGTGTAAGTGCAGTATTGCAAAATGGAGAACCTTGATGTTTGGAAGGAAAGGCCTAGAGAATCACTCAGCCATGCCAGCCAGGCAAACCCCCTCAGCCAAGCCAGGGAGCCTCAAAAACCTTGGATGTGAGAATTTTGTGATATGCCACTGTGTGGAACATTTAAATTACATACAGAATTTAAATATATATTTACACACATGCATATTGTGTATTTATAATATATTTCTAAGCTGCACCTCAGACTTGATCCAGGCACATAGCTGAGTTTCATTTTAGGCCATCTTTTTTAAGCTAACTTGTCTGCACAGCTCAATGTATACTATAAAAGCCACAGCCTAGGTTCATGGGCTTCAGTTTCCTTCAGTGTCTCTTGTGCAGATGCAGGTTTCACATGTATACTGTGAATAGTCCCTTTACTTATGGACCAGACATTATATCCTCAGCTTATCTGTCACAGGAGTGAGCACTAACAAAGTTCAGTGACATAATCTAAAGAAGAAAGGGGGAAATAATGAAAATAGATGCAAAATTAGAGATTAAGCCTAAAAGCAGCACTGCAACTAAAAAAAAAACAAAAAACAAACCCAAGAACAATTTGTACTGACATGAGACAATTAGTTTGGCAAAATGGTGATGCCAAAGTACATTAATAGCCATAGTCAAACAAGAGACACTACAGTAATATTAAAGCGTAAGTTCACATAAGGGGCAAAGTGTCTACAAAATAACACAAGCCTAAATGCAGGAAGACACAAGCAAGTGAAGCAGAATGGATGGACAAGACAAATTTTAGAAGCAGAAGTCTTTGAAACTCTGTGAAAAGAAACTTACATTTCTAAAGCTTTAAAAATATATATATTCTAGCCATAAACAGTAGCATTTTTAAAAATGTTTGAAATGTAAAATACAAAACAGTGTCAACCAAAATTCTCCTCTGTTTTTCAACTATAGCTGGCCAAAAGTCCCTAGAGTTGACAGGGAGAGTAAAGTTTAAAAAAACAACCATTTAATGATCTTTAATTCTAGCAGTTTTAATTTCCTTTAAAATATCTAATAAAGACCAAAATCAGTAGAACAAGTAAGACTGGTCAGTGGTCCAACTTAGGCATAGCCTGTATCAAACAAAACTCATAATTTGCGGACCATTTAGTTCTTTACTCTGAGACCATTAAATCAACAGCAAAACACTGTTCTTTGGAATTATCTATTCATTTTCAAATTTGACTTTTCTTTTAATATGTTTTACATAGTCAATTACGTAAAGTAAGATAGATAGGCATATTATCCTCAGAACACTGAATAATGAAATACCTTTGTACAGCCTCTGTGATGATAAGGGAAATATCCAATATGGGAGAAATTCCTTCAAGCATTGCTGTCTAACCAGTGAAAGGGAGGAGCTGGGGGGAGGAAATCTTTATTTGCTGCTTCAATAACTCAAAATTCCTGTCTTCTACTGAGCACTGTTGGACTCTCATATAATAGCAACTGTAACTGTTATGAAGGGGAGATACAGAAGCTGCAACACAATCTAATCGCTCAGCAGAAGTATTTCTGCTTAATACACTCACAATACAACACATTTATACATGCAAACATGTACCACAAAAAGGTTAGAAGCAATCTTTGTAATTTAATTTCCTTTTTATCCTTGTCATTTTTACTATTAAATAAGAAGACAGAATCAAAGAGGACTTGCAACATGCTGAGAAAAAAGGAGAAAACTATAGAATTACTTTCCCCATTGAGGATAAGAAAATACGTATGTCTCCCTTTCATAAATTTTACTTCCATTTAAAATCTAGAAAAATGACAGGGCTTATGAAACTGTAAGTTCACTTGGAAAGTAAATTTCTCACCTTGCAGTAAACGGTTATTACAGCAATAAAAAACATTAGTTATGCCAATCAAGAAGAAAAGACAAAGTATCCAAAGAATAAGCCTGTGAATAAAATAGTAACATATAAAAGACTAGCCATCAATGAGATGGATGTGATATGCTGAAAAAACTGCGTATGTGGCTTTAGCCTCCACTATTCATATTGCAGTATTTAGTACGCTGTTCAAACCAGATAAGAATAATAAATACAGATGCAATTAAACATCAAAGATATAAAAAACATGCATTAAATAACTCCAGAATTTCAAACACTGTAACTAACTTTCAGGAACCTGATGTGGCTCAACAAGGGCAACTTAGGGTCACAGAATCATAGAATGGCCTAGGTTGACAAGAACCACAAAGATCATTTAGTTTCAACCCCCCTGCTATGTGCAGGGTCACCAACCACTAGGACAGGCTGCCCAGAGCCACATCCAGCCTGGCCTTGAACGCCTCCAGGGATGGGGCATCCACAACCTCCTTGAGCAACCTGTTCCAGTGCGTCACCACCCTCTGTGTGAAAAACTTCCTCCTGATATCTAACTTAAAGCTTCCCTGCCTCAGTTTAAAATCATTTCCCCTTGTCCTTGCTGAAGGACAAGGAGAGTCCTACAGCTGGGGAGGAATAACCACATGCGCATCAGAACAGGTGAAGGGATGACCTGTTGGAGAAGTGCTCTGCACATTAGAACCTCAGTGTCCTGGTGGACAACAGGTTGGCTACGAGCCAGCAGTGTGCCAAGAAGACCAATGAGATCTGGGGTGCCATTGGCAGCACGGCTAGCAGGTAGAGAGAGGTGATTACATATGAGTGAGCACACATCTGACTTGATAAATAAAGAGAGTGGAAGACAGAGCATTAGCTTCAAAAGTAGGCCCATCTTTCTTCATTGGAATGATATAAACAGTTAAGTAACGAATTTTGACTTTACAAAGGAATATAAAACAGCTCTGAAGGAGTATATCATAATAGGCATGTTCTTGCCATTTCCTAAATTCCATATCGACAGCTTCATGAAAGTTTTTTTTTAACAAAGTAACTTTAATGAATGACAAAGAAAAATCAGCTTCTGTAATAACCTAATGAAGATTTATAATTGCACACTCTAAGTACCTGTACTCACAGACCGTCAATTATAACTGCCAGAAATCATACTGGGTGACATATTAGATTTGATACACAGCAAGAAAATGCAGACATTCATTTACATGAAGATTAGATACGAGTGGAGCAAACCTGAAAAATGTCTTCAACTTTTAACCTTTTCCTTGCAACAGCGAGATAAATACATTTGAATCAACAGAAGTATGAAGACTGGAATACTATTCAAGCTACTCAAGTGCCAAAAATGACAAAGAAAAAATATAAGTAATTCAAAAGCTCAATATATCAAAAGTTGCCTTTATGTTGGATCTATACTACTTACTCTACATGCTAATTCCAGTGAGAATGATCATTAAAATTAGTCAACTGTTTTGGAAGGCTCTTCTGAGAATTCACAGCACAAAGAAATTAAGAGCAGAATAAAAGTAATAAATAAAGTACAGGCAAATTCTTAAAAGAATAATCCTAAGAAACAATACATCACTGGAAGAAGCTTATTAAGAAACTACTACCTTCTCACGTAAATCTTTGAGTCACTGCCTTTGAAGTCTTTAGTATTTTGACTTAACCATTTGTTCTCTTTCTTTTCCATTAACCACCACTAACAGTATCATCTGCAACCAACACATTTTACCCCCATCTTATAGTATCACAAAAATTTTTAACAAGAAATTCATACGTATTAATAGGCTACTACAGCCTAAATTGACAGAGTAATCAAAACAATTGGCAATAGAAATCAACAAACTACTCTCCATTTGGAAGTACCCACCAGGAAGAAATATTAACAAATAATGGGTTATGAATCTCAATATCCAGATTTGGAAAACTTATGCAGAAAATGAGTCCATTTTATATGGCTTCATGTATATCACAATGCATTTTCTCTTATAGAATTCACTGACCTTCTGTTATGGTTTACCCTCCACTATGATGAAATTTTATAGGCCAACAAGAGAAGAAAGAAATCACGTCTTCAAGTTTCATTCATTGCTAACTCCTTTTTTATCCTTAAATAAAAATCACAGCCTTTCACTGATCAGACTTTTCAATAGAAATCAGTTGAAGGACACAGACATCAGAAGCCAATAGAAACTTTCAAGGCTTTATAACCTTATGAAACAAGAAAAAAGATCACAATACCACTCTACATGATACGGTCTAAAATTGCCAAGAAGAGCTGGCAATAGAATAGTATGTTGCATCACATTTCTTGTGCTTTCCCTTTTCTAATGAAAGCAGAGTGAGTAGAGCTGGGATACCTTAGAAACCCAGTTTGGACTACAAATCCCAGATATGAACAAGCGTAAACAGCATTACAGCTATCAGCACAACCCACAACAATCTCTTTTCAACAGACAGTCTAATACTGTAATGAGAATTCTTTTCTAATCCAGCATTGCTCTGAGACCAGAGAGATCTTGCAAATGCCTAGGATGTAATGAAAAATGCTGTTGTTGGACAAGTAGCAGACACCAAAGAAGCCTTATCTAAGAGACTTGAAAGAAACTTTGCAAGAATTCCTAACAATTGAAACTAGACTGAAAAACAGATGTAAAATTATGACCTAGATTTCAACAGCTTTCAGTAAAAGCAATGGTGGTAATCCTCTTTTCGTGAACAAAAAGCATGGCATTAATGACACCAGCAAAAGAGCACTGCTTATCTTTCAACATTGTGCAACAAATGCAACCCATGACTACAGCTAGGGAACTCACCAAACAAACCTAATCACTGTTACCCTATCTTTCTGGTCTGCTGCTTACGTTTCCTAATACAAGCTAAAACATCCCATTTGCTTTCTAATACCTTCCAGTGTCAGTTGGGTTCTACCAAGATATTCAGGTAGTAACTAGAAGAATTAAAACAACCTCTTTTGCAAAATAGATTATGAACTATTTGGAATCACAATGTTCCAAAATGTTGTAAGAGACCTGCTCTGAAAGTAATACCTCCTATTTTATTATTTTGCCTCACAAAGTCAGAGGTAGATGTTGGCAGCATGGCAGTAGAGGCTGAACCTTCTCATCAATATCCAGTCACATGTTGCTACTGTGTGACACATAGCAACAGAGGGGCACTCTGACTGAATGGCATCTGACATGGAAGTATGAATCAAGGATG